CCCACGCGCTTCGAGGGGCGCCCGGCCCACTGCCTTGGCTCGCCGGTAAGCGAGCAAGCGGCCCCGAAGAAAGCAGCGCCGCCCCGCCTGGTGCTCCCGAGTGCCCGGCCTCCGGTTTCTGCCTGCGCCGCCATGCAGCACCCCGACGGTCCTGCTCGGGGGCAGGTGCTCTACGATGTCCGGAGGCTGCGCTGTGTGGTGGGTCGGGCGGCCCCGGCCAAGCCGTTAGCCCGTTAGCCCGGAGGGCAGCTGGAGGCCGGCATCCCGCTCTGGCCTTCCAAAGGCGCCCCCCCCCCAAAGAGGCGGCAGCGGAAGAGACTATTAAAGAGGCCCGACCCCTTTTAAGAGACTGTGCCTGGGCTCCTTGCTCCTCTCTCTCCCTCCCTCTGGGGGTGCTGGTCCCCCACCCCCCAAGAGCCCTCCCTGCCCCTGCCTTGGCCAGCAGCGCCTCTGGGCCTCCTTCTTCCCCCAGGAAGACCTGAGCCTTTCCCCCCTGCCGCTCATTCATCTACTCCACCAGCTCCCTGCTTCCTCCTGGGAAAGGGGGAACTTGGGGCTTGCCCAAGAGCAGTTGGGGGAGCTGCCTGTGGGTGCCCGGGCCTCCTTGCACCCTGAGGTCTGGGAGCTGCCACCCAATCGGAGCCGTGGGCCTGCCCCCCAGCACCAGCAGAGGTCGGCTGTGGCTCCGTGGGTGCTCAGCCCCCAGCATTACAACAGGAGCACCCTCCCTTAGGAGCTCTGAAGAAGCAACGGGCCCCATTCATGGGCTGTTTAGGAGGGGAGGAACCCCACCATTAACCCCGTGAGCAAGGAGAATGGAAAAGCCCCATTTCTGGAAAACATCTATTTACATTTATTGACAAGTTCAGATATGCAAGGGGAGGGTGATGTTCTTGCTGTGCTCTGCAAGACAAAGATGTCCAGTATCCAGAGACCCCTGTGGTCTGTCCCTTGTCCCCCCCCCCCAGACAGGGCTGTGGGGCTCCTGCCACACACACCCAAGTCCAACATGGCCCGGCGGCAGGGATTCCACAGAACACAGAGCCCACGTACTGCTGGCCCTCTCCCAAACCACCTTTGCCGAGGTGTTAAGAAGCCATGTCAGAAGAAGGGAGGTCCCCTCCTGGCCTTTGGCACAGAGCTGCTCTGATCCTCCTGGCTCCTTACAGGGTGGGCTGAGGTGACCCCGGGGGCAGCATGCTGGGGCCCCCATTCGCTTTGGCCAGGAAGGTCGTGGCCGCTGTGGTGGCCGTGATGCTGGCGGCTGTGCTGTTCCCAAGGGGCTGGGGGCTGTCGCTCGGCTCTTGCTTGACACTGCTGCCGCTGCCAGGAAGGGCCAGGCTGGGTGGGGTGGAAGCAGAGGAAGAGGAGGACGAGGAGGGCGACAGCTGTGCACTTCCCCCTTTGCCTTCAGTGGCTGGAGGGAGGGACACAACAATGTACTTCTGGACGCTGCTTGAGACCGGAGGGCTGGGGGCTGCCTGCCCACCCGAGACCAGCTTCACCAGGGGCTGTGTGCTGGGGACTGTCGTAGTGACTGGGGAGGTGGAGGTGCTGGTGGGCCCCCCACTAAGCGTGATTACCTGCAAAAGAGGCGCAAGTCACAGGGCAGCTCTTTCCCCCAGCCCCAGGAGGAAGAGCCTCCCCGCCCCACCTTCCTTACCTGCTGGGAGGTGGAGGTGCCAGAGGCCGAGGACATGACAATAAACTTGGTGGGTGGTGGGGAGGGTTGTGTCGGAGTGGCAGGGCGAGTGGCTGAGACCAGCGTCTGCACTGGCAGCGTAATGGCACTGGGCACCTTGATGATGCTGGGGGCTCTGGAGGAGGAGGAGGTGCTGCTGCTGCTGCTGCTGCTGCCACCCCCTGGAGGAGCCTGGGAGAGAGTCAGCGTTGGGCGGGGCTGGAGGGAGACAGAAAGACAGACAGCCACTCTAGAGCTTGCCTTCAGGAAAGAAAGGGGCCCTTGACCCACAAAGGGAGTGCCGTGGGGTGGGGTGGGGTGGGATGCAGGGCAGAAAGGAGGGTCAGGTGTGGTTACCTGAGTGATGGTCAGGGTGGTACGGTTCACCTGCTGAGCCTGCAGGGCAGCCTGGGCCCGCGCCTTGACCACATGAGTGCAGAGGAGGGTGCCCAGTGACCCATACTCCGCCCGGTAGGCCTCCTGGTTGTCAGGTGGGGGGCGCAGCTTGGCTAGGACTGGCGCGCAGTGCTTCTGTGGAAGGAAGGGAAAGAAAGACAGTGTGTGGCAGAGAGCAGGAGGGTAAGGCAATGCTGGCAAAACCGAAAGGCCTCTTTCCTGTCCTCCCTCACCCTTAAAGTCCAAGCCCCAACCATCAGGCTAGCAACAGAAGACGCAGGGGAACGGGCCACCCCCTCCCAGAGTCTGGGTGCTGTGCAGAGGCATCCTGCCAGGCTGGCCCATCTGGGCTGACCCCTTCCCCTCCCCAAGAGGAGCAGGATGGCTCTTAACTCCCTCCTCCCCTCACCAGTAAGAGGCTCTGGACATGGTCAGCCCCAATCTTGTCGATGTTGCTGACCACAGGGCCCTCCAACACAGCGCGGACGCGCTCGCCTTCCACGTGCAGCCGAGGCAGGATCAGTGTCTTGATCACCTGGGGGAGAGAACACAGGCCAGCCAAGACTCAGCCCCAGCTCTAGCCACTGCTAGCCCCAAGCTGCTGCCTGGCCTGGCCTGGCCACGGCAAACCACTCACATCATGTCCAAGCTCTGCAAGGCCAGCAATCGAGCCGTACCGTGTGGTCCACGGGGTCTTCTCATCCACCCAGCTCTGGAGGAGAAAAGAGAGGAAAGAGAAGGGCCCGTGGGAGCAAGAGGAAGACCGAGGGGCTCCCTCGCTGCCACTCATGATCCCGTATGCTCACCTTGGTGAAAGTCTTGGTGATCCGTGACTGGATGTTGTTCGTGGTGGTGCTGAAGTTCTTGCAGATCTGGGCGATGAGACGGGCAGCAAAGTCGCGGAGGGCCCAGTGGTTGTCCACATCTGGCCGCAGGCAGAGCTGCCGGCTGACAATGCAGGTCATCACGGCAGGAATCAGCTCATGAAGCTTCACAGGGAAAAGCGCGGCACAGGCGGAGGGTCAGGGAGGGCCAGGAGCAGCAGCCCCGTCAGTCTGCGGGCCCCACGTCACGGCCCTCCCCCTCCCCCTCCAGACAGGTCCACTCACGTATTTCTCCAAATAGAGGGTGGGGTTGTCCATCAGGGCCTTCACCATCCGCATGAGGTAGATCAGGAGGGCCAGGTTGTTCTGCACCACATTCACACGCACCTGGGGTGGCAAGAGGAGGGGTGCAGATCCAGACAAGAAAAAGGGATGGGGCTGAGTCAAGGGGCGAGAGTTGGCTAAGTTTACAAAGGATCAGCAGGGAGCTATACTAGATGATGAAACTGTCCCCAGAGAGGTTGCGTCCACCGTATGAAAAGGAACAAAGAGGTCCGCAATAACTAGCTCTACGGATGCGGCAAAAGATAGGAAGCGATAAGCGCTGCTTGAGATCGCGTCTCATCCAGGATATGCAGGAGCAAAATGCTGTCTAAACATTTCTCCTGCTTCTTAAATGCTACTGGTGACCACAACTGTGAGTCAAGAGAGACGGCTCTCAAAGCAGCTCCTGAACCCTAACTTGTCCGTGGGACAGTTCCCCTCGGCTGTTGTTGCACACGGGGAGGTTTTTCAGGTTCCTGGAAACCTGAGGGTGAGCCTGCGTGTTACTGACATGTTTTAGAAATGGGTTTGTTTCCATGTGGCGCGTGCCCTCGGGCTGCACCACGGCTCTGCCCATTTCCATGTCTACTGGAGAATAAACAAATTACTCAAAGAAATGCTGCCTTGAGTCTTTTCGAGACCAGCTGCCAAACGGAAAACTTTAACAGCCACAAGGGAGCAACACGCACTTCCCATGTGGAAAGTGGTGCACCATTCAGTTCGCTAAGCCATTTGTGGCTGTGCTACATGCCAAGAGCCAAAAGCCTTTCAGGGGTGGGGCGGGAAGAGGGGGGGGGGCTGGCAGGCTATGACAGAGGCTGGCTTCCTCCCTTCCCCCTCCCTCTCTTCCTCCCTCGGAGCACAAGATGAAGAGATGGCCGAGCCCCCACTGGTGGGAACCGAGCCTCCTTAAGACAGGGCTGTGGAGGAAGCACAGCCGGGGCGAAGTGGGTCTCTGGACAGGGAGGGAGGAAAGGAGCCAAAGGAACATGAGCCAAGCTGAAGGGGAACCTTCCAGGCCTTGGAAAGGATTCCCCACTAGGTCAAACTATCCAGCAAGCCGTCCAGCGGCAGGTCCATTCTGGTGAAGGGCATCTGTGCGGCCATCTGGGGCTTTGGGTGAGAGCAGTTCTGGAGCAGGCACCTTCCCCTCGGCCACCCTGCAGAGTGCGCCCCCTTTGTCTCTCCTTACCCCTTCAGAGATAAAGGTGCTGAAGCGGGGCAGCATCTGGTACAGGCCAGGGTCAGTGGCAATGCTCTGGAGGGCTTCCTGGGGGGAGAGAGAGAGAGAAGGCAGATCAGCACCTGTGGCTTTGAAGGAGGCGGCTGGGAGGGGGCTGAGCTGAGCTGGGGTGTCACTCCTCAGCCAGCCACCAGCCTCAGCACCCCTGAGCGAAAGAACCAGGCCAGGAGGTCAGCACTGGTTCTCCAACGAAGGGTGGAGAGAGAAGGCCGGCTGGCCAAGGGGAGAGCCACTCATTTAGGTGGCTTTGGTGGCAGGCCAGTCACCAGAGAGCGAGCGACAGCACAGCACAGCACTTACTGGCCATGCCCCAGAGGCTGGGTCTCTACAGCAGGGTGCAAACCCATCCTCCCTTAGGGGATACCTAAGGATTCCTTTCTGAACACAAGCTTGCAAAAATGTGGGAGCACCAAATAATTGCACAGATGGCACCCAAACACAAGACATTATGCATAAAAACAGGTGCTACCAATACACCTCACATTCTTCTGTGCTTCATAGGTAAAGGGTGGGATATAAGCAGCTTAAATAAGTAAATAAATAAATAGACTCACTGCCTGCAGCACAGGGGTAGATCGCTAGGAAGAGGACGTTCAGGTATCTGCTCTCCACCAAGCCACTCTAGGGGTCTGACTCACGCAGTCTGGCTCAGACAGACCGAGAGCAGTGACTCTCTCTAGGGCCTCCAAAGGCCCAGTGGGCCAGGGAGACGGCTTTCCCTACCTTTACCTAAGAAAGCTGCTGGGGACTAACCCTGGGTCCTTCTTCATGCCAGGCAAGGCCCAGCCCCTTCCCTGCCCCAAGGGCTGTGTGAATTGCTTAAGGTGGCCACCCAAGTGGGGAGAAGGCAGGAGCAGGATGGGGCCAAGCCAGCTAAGACAGGCTTCTCTGGGCTCCAGCAATGGCTTGTTTGTTTGTCTGTTTGGGGGAGGCAGAGTTCTGCAGGCCCCTGGCTCCTCACCGCCCGCTTTGCTTCGCAGGAGCCCACACATGCTTCCGTGATCTCCTTGTAGTACAGCTGCTGCTCCACCGAGAGCTCATGGATGCTGCGTGGCTTCAGCTTCAGAGGGGCTCCCTCCAAGAGGGGCCCTTTCTTCTCTTTCCCTGCAGGGGTGGGAGGAAGGCAGGCAAGTGATGTGACAACAGGGCAATGTCCCCGTACCACCTACTGACTGCAGCCCACCTGTCCTCTTCTGATTTGTCCATCTGCTATCACGGAGCCGAGAGAGGGCGCACAGTTCACCCGCAACGAGGACAACCAAACAGAAAACAGAAAAGTGTGTTTTTTTCAGCAGGTGGCTAGGAAAGGAAACTTTCAGCACCTGCAGCTTTTAACGCAAGGTACATCTGCTGAAGGTTTCTGGTCTGCACAATTATTAAAGGTACAGGACCCATGTTTTCTTTTTCATCGTGTCACTCTACCAATGACAAATGGCTGAAGACAGGCCTTGTTACGCAAATGAGCCAGAGTCAACACGTGGGACGGGCCAGCAGCTGCCGTTTGCTACTGCAAGGCTGCTCTCAAGGACAAGCTGCTGTAGCCACAGGCATGAACCAGAGACCCCCTGGCCACCCTCCTCTCCATTCAGAAGCCAGCCAGCCTTCCTGCCCAGTTTCAGACACTGCTACTGCTTTTTCAAAGTATCTGTTCCACTGTCTGCAAAAGCTTCCAAACTGCCACCTTGCTCTAAGCAGATAATCAGCTAACCAACCCCCCCATGTGACACTATAGCCCTGCATTTGATAGAAGGTGCTGTCCCCCCCCCAGCCTCTGGAGTGTCTGACCTTTGCCCTCAGGTGCTGTGGCATTTTGCCCTTTGCCCTTGAGGGCCCCGTCCTCCTCCTGGCCAGGCTTCGTAGCTTTCAGGGGCTCTGTGGCCTCGGCTTTCTGCTGCTCCTTGGGGGCTGTCAGAGTAGTGGGGAGGAGAGAAAAAAAAGAGACAGGAGCTAGCTCTGTTCTGCCCTCTGACAAGCATGGGTGATGAGTGGGTGTGGGCTCAGGAGTGCTGGCACAGCTGTAGGTCCATCAGCTGCTTCCCCCCTCCTCATAACCCAGAGGGCAGATGTACAGGCTCAGCACTCACCTGGGGGTGGGTTTTCTGGGATGGCAGGTTGAACTCCTTCGATGCTCAGCCAGTGAGCTGAGGAAGAAACAGAGTCAGGCAGAATCCGTCTCAGCCCCCCAACCTACTGACTTGAAGGCGTCTCAAGAGCTGCAGTTCAGCCTCAAGAGACTAGTCCTCAGCACCACAGAGCAAAAAGCATAGAATGCAGCAACAAGAAGGAACAATGGTCCTTCCTGGGTGCTCGGTCTCCTGCAGAGAGACTCATACAATCATCTTATATTGATATTGGGGGTGGTGTGTGTGTGTGTGTGTGTGTGTGTGTGTGTGGCCTCTCAAAGGCAACAGAGAGAGTCTCCTGGAAGTTGGATCACGGCAACTAGATTCCTTTCTTATTAGGTTGAAATACTTCACTACTCATCCAGTTACAGGTAGCTTCTTCAGTCTGGTTGAGTAGCCAAACGTTTCAACCTAATAAGAAAGAATAAGCTCATCTGGATGACCAAGAATCTTCACAGGTATATTGCAACAGAGAGAGATTTCAGAAGGGATGGGGTGTTGGCCTCTGCACCTCAAGCCACACTGCAGAATAACTGGTTTTCTCCGAGATTCAAGGGCAAAAGAAAAAAGAAAGAAAGAATGGAAAGTAATATTTAGGGAAATAACTGAAATTATGGGATTGAATATTTCAATGTCCCCAATAACAGCCTTATTGAATTTGAGTAAAGAGCAATTGGTGAATGAAAATAAGGATTTAATAATAATAATGATTATGGCTGCAAGGATAATTATGGCAAGGAATTGGAGAAATGAAAATCAATTTAACCTTGAGGAATGGTATAGAGAATTGTGGGATATGGCTATTAATGATAAACTGACATGCGATATGAAAATAAGCAGGGGCCAAATGAAAAATAATGACTTTAAAAAAATATGGAACGTATTTTTAGAACATGTATTTCGGAGAGGGAGGGGGTATACACCAAGTGAAGAAACATTGAAATTTTGGAATGAAAATGGATGGAAAGAAGTGTAATGCTAGTCCTGAGGGTGATGGGTTCACTGTTATGTTTTGTAATTTATAGTCTCGTAATTTACAGTTTGTTTTTTTGTAGTAGTAGGTATTTTGTATTTTTCGGTTTTTTTTATTATTATTTTTTGTACTTTTTAATTATAAATAAATATTAAAAAAAAAAAAAGATTCAAGGGCAAGCCCCAGAGAAACCCTGAGGAGCAGAACCAGCTTCCTCAGGCTACTGGCCCTCTCCCTCTGTCCACCCAAGCCGGGGCCGCCCAATCTGGCTCATGGCTCTGCAAAAAGACCCCCAAACCAGCCAGAGAAGGCACCTCCGGAGACTCCGAGGGGCCCTGCAGAGAAACCTCGCCTGCCCCCACCAGGACAAATGGAAGGAGAGCAGCCTTCTGCAGGAGGGGGGCTTTGGACAGGTGGAGCTCCCTTCCTCTCAGCCATACTGGGGCCTGGGGGCTCCACTTAGGTCTAGCCTTATTGGGCCCGAAGTCCCCAGCCCCGACTCTTCTTACCCTTGAGGCAGGCGTCAAGGGGGACGCGGGGAAGTGGGGTGTTGATGATGTCACTCAGGTCCACTTCCTTCTCCTCATAGAAATAGAGCTCACGGCCCCCACCGCTGGCGTAACGGAAAGGGATGAATTCCTGAGTGTGGAAGCCGTACAGTGGCTGCAAGAGAAAACAAGCAAACGTGGTGAAGGACCTCCCTGCCTCCTTGCACCCCCCCCACTGTCCAACCCATACCCTCCCCTTCCTGTCAGACCCAAGCAAAGGGATTGACACACGGAGACCCCACACACACACATTCCCTTCCCCACTCCCGGGTGTGTGTGTGTGTGTGTGTGTGTGGGCCTGTGACTCTCTTGATAAACAGATCCATTAGGTATCGGTTCAAGCGTGTGATTGATTGAACCAATATAGAAAAGCCCACCAGCACCAGCAGCACACACTTACAGCTTCTCCTCTCTCTCCCTGGGCAAAACTCTCTCTCTCTTTTAACTGTTTAATACTGGTGCTTCTCTCTGTTGGCAAGAAGAAGAAGAGATGAGGAAAGGAAGTCCTGTTTAGGTGTGTAACGGCACCATCCACTGAATGGTTTCCACAAGCTTCTGCAATGTTTAAGAAATGGAGAGAAATGCACCCTCACGTTTATATATGAATATATGCATTTTGTATGTACCTTTCCTTCCATGCAACAGCCCTGATGCACACATTTGCTTGGCTGAAGAACTGCATCATAAAATCTGGAGACTCACAGAACTTGCTGAATAAATGCATTTCAGTCCATGTGCAAGTTGAAGAACGGTGAATAAAGTCAATATTTAAAAATGCAGATTGAAAACAAACGTACAAAATAGCCTTCTTTGTTCTCACTGCTGGTGCATGTAAGATCTTCTGTGCTCTTCCATATTCCTGGAGGCTCTTAGGTGATCTGCCTGATGCTATATCTAAAGCTTGGAAAAGCTAGTTTTTGGATTAGAGGTGTCAAAACCTCCCAGTCATCCTCGGGCACCTGCCCGATGCCCATCGCCTCGGCCATCGCCTTCATGGACTCGGTGGGCAGCTGCGCGCACCCGCCCGCCTTGGCCTTCTTCTCCTCCGCCATCGCGAACGCGCGGCTGTTCCGGCGGCCCGCCGACCCGCCCGCCGACCCGCTTTCCCGGCGACCCTGAGGCCGCAGGTCCTTGCAGGGACACGAAGAGCGTCCACACGGCCAGCGCTCTCTCCGCGCATGCGCCCCCAATCCCCTGCCAGGACCTGCGGAGGCAAGACGGGACCCGCGACCAGTGAGAGGAAGCACGCTGGGGCTTCCTAGAGCGGCACCAAGGTGTCTGGCTTCGGCGCCTGCCGTGGGATTTGGGGTGTGTGTGGGGGGGTTCGTTCCCCTGGTCCGCCCGCCGGGGCTTCACGGGGGCTGAGCAGCCTTCGCGGCAGTCTTTGCTGCAGCTTCCCAGGGAACAGGAGGCTCTCTCGCTCACGCCCGAGCGCGCCGGCAGGGCAGCGTGGCCGCCTGAACCTTGGAAAGAGCCTGCTCGCTCAGCTTGCACGTGTGAACGAGGGGGCCTGGCTGGCCGAGACACGGGTCTACGCCCGGAAAGAGCGGGACCCGCGTCCCGGAGGCCCCCTGGTAGAGTCGGGGGAGGGAAGGGGAAGGTCCCCGTCAGGCCCCCGTCCCGCCGGAGGTAGGAGCCCGCCCACGCCGCAGGGCTCTATGAACGAGGTAGCCAGCTGGGAGAACGCGTTAAGTAACGTGTCGTTCCAAGGCCCGTTCCAGGGTGGCTGCGGCCGGCTGGCCTGAAGCCCCCTCGGCAGCCCCAGAGGCAGCCCTCCGGATGCT